GAATGAAATTTTCGAAAGAAAAGATATTTCATGTAATTACATGAAATTAACTTCTATTTGAAATATATCTGATCTTAATTGAATGTGATTGATTTTTTCTTAAGGTTCAAGGTAAAGATTCTTCATCATTTTTAAATAATCCAAATAATATAACATCTGAATCAAATGGTTCATCAATATATGAATCTGATGATGAATGTGCTGGTGAATCCAATGAAAATTATCTTTCTACAATAATAAATTTACCACCAGTTGATCTAATACATTTACGTGATATTTGTGATTTATTCAGTCCCGATAAAGTTCGTGATGCATCACGTCGTGATTTATTAGCACGTGCAATTGAATCTGGAAATTATATTCGAAAATTAATTGATCTATTTCATATATGTGAAGATTTAGAAAATATCGAATCATTACATCAATTATATGAAATAATTCGCTCAATATTTTATTTAAATAAATCAAGTTTATTTGAATTATTATTTAGTGAAGAATTTATTTTGGATATTATTGGATGTTTAGAATATGATTCACAATTAAATTATACTGAGAAAAAAAATCATCGAGAATTTATAGATACAAAAGCAACATTTAAAGAAGTTATACCAATTGCTAATCCAGAATTATTATCGAAAATTCATCAAACATATCGTGTACAATATATACAAGATGCAATTCTACCAGCACCAAGTTTATTCGAAGAAAATTTATTATCAACAATGAATAGTTTTTTATTTTTTAATAAAGTTGATATTGTTACATTATTATACGTAAGAAATGAAAAGAATTTTATTTCGTAAAATATTTATCATCTTTTTATTGTTTAGGAAGATCCAAAATTCCTTAGTCAGTTATTTTCAACATTAAAAGATGAAAATTTATCAGATGACAAACGTAAAGATCTTATGTTGTTTCTTAAAGAATTTTGTGTTTTTTCACAAACATTACAACAACAAAATAGAGATAATTTTTTTCAAGTAAGTATAATTTAATTACGGAATAGAGAACTCATTCTATTAGATACAAGTTTTTCTCGCGATAATTTTATAATGCAAAAAATCTCTTATAGACTCGAAAAATTACCCTTTATTTCATCTATAACGATAACATACAACTTATCGATTGAGACAAAACTTGATTGTTCAAGAGAATTTAAATTTTTATTTCGAAGAAAAACTATTTAAAAAAATTCGTCATCTTGAAGTACTTTGAATGGATAGGAACATACAGTTTCTATTCCTTGTAATGAAAGTTTTCAATAAATTATTCTCAAAAGTTGCAACATTCGTATTTATTTGACCTCAACCTTTTGTCAAATGTCATATTTATTGATACTTTTGATGAGCTTCTATTAAATAATTACATAGGATAGAAAAACAGACATCCTCTTTGTTTGACTTTCTGTCATAACAATACATCAAAGAGCAAATATAATAAACTAATATTTTCTATCATATTGAAATAGATAATCATAAGTAAAATCTAACAAATGACTTTGTTAATTTTCTAGGCACTTGCTACTCATGGTATTCTAAATGTAATTCAAGTAATGCTTGTAAGTTATCAAACTATTTCTAAACAAATAACCGTACATTTCCAATAAAATCAATAGAGTCTTGATGATACAACAACAAAACAAGCTGCATTAGATGTATTTGCTTCTATAGTTGAATGTAATCCATCAACAGTACGTGAATATATGTTACAAGAAACTCAATCAACTCAAGATGATGATGAATTACTTCTCAATCTTGTTATAAATGAAATTCAAAGTGATCCAGATCCAGGTATTTTTGTTTTTCGAAAACAAAAAATAAAATAAAATCGAAATTTTTTCTTTAGAACTAAGTGGTGCACTTAATTTAATGAATTATCTTAAATTATTAATTGATCCTGAAAATATGATGGCTGTATCAATAAGTGAAAAAAACGGAATTTTTATCATTTTTTTATTTTCGTTCTATGTCTGTATTACTTGCTCCACTTATGGCCAATACGTCTGATTTAAAATTAATACGAGATGATTTTCATTTAGCTCAATTACAAAATTTAATTCTTGATTTTGTTACATTTTGTGTTGAACATCATACATATCATATGAGAAATTTTCTTAATAAAAAAGATTTATTACGACGTGTACTTGTATTATTAAAATCTAAACATCAATATCTTCAACTTAGTATGTTTAAAAAAAATTTTATTTTGAATAAAATAAGAATTTCTGTTTTTTCTAGGTGCTCTTCGATTTTTGCGAAAAATTCTTGCTCTTAAAGATGAACAGTATAATATAACCATCGTTCGCAATAATTTATTTGCACCAATTGTTGATACATTCAAAGCAAATAAACGACGTTATAATTTATTAAATTCAGCTTTAATTGAATTGTTTGAATTTATTCGACAAGTAAAAACAATGAATTATTTTTTTCCTGAAAACAAAAACAAAAATCTTCTTTTGCATTTTTAGGAAGATATAAAAACTTTAATCAATTATTTTGTTGAAAACTTCTATTCAGAATTTGAATCAATATCTTATGTAAAAACATTTCACGATTTAAAATTACGATATGATGCTCATCGAGATAGAAGAGAACGAATGCTTCACGATACGTAAGTTATAATAATCGCATCATATTTTACCTCTTGACCTGCCCTGCAAAACGGCAAATAAATTTTGTCATGCCACCCTGGGGCAGGGTTACCTTGCCCTCTGACGATCTCTGATGTATATAGACATGACCCAAACCCAAACTGTTTGAGTTTGAGGTCGAGTTTGAATTTGAGTTTGGGTTTGGGTCATGTCTAGATGTATAACAAAAATTCATATAAATATTTTTCTATTATTTAGTTCATCGATAGGCACTTCACGTTTACACGACAATCTAAATAATAATCATTTATTACCTATTCAACATACTCATCCCTCACAACGTCTTCGAAAAGATGATCGAGAGCTTGATGCTGATGAAGAAAATTGGTTTAATGATGATGGTGATGAAAATCGAATATCATCACTTAATCATGGTACATTATTTAATGGTGGCTCGGATGATGAAGACAGTCAACCAGAAACAAGTGGAACTAGTAGTGCAATTTCAACCAATGAACCAATTCGATCACATCATCTTCTATTAGATAATGATGATGATGAATTACCAACGACATCGACCGAAACAGCTTCAACATCATTACGTTCACAGTATAATAAACCTGTAATCAGTATTCATATTCGACGTTCACCTATATCTTCTGTTGGTCAGTTATCTCCATCATCATCTGCTAGTGCGGAAAATGATTCAACAACACTTCGAATTGATATACCACCATTGGCAACAAATGGTTCTCCGACTTCATCAATACCTCGACCAATGACACCAACTGAATCCACATCTACATATGCTATGGTAAATAAAAAAAAGAAATATTTCACTCTCTTTTATCTATTTATGTCTATTAATTATCTAGAGTCCTGGTTTATCGAGTATTGCCGATCAATATAATGATGATGAAAACGATGAAGAACACGAAGACGAAGACGAAGAAGAGGAAGAAGAAGAACAAACGGAAATAGATCATGATGTAAATTTAAAATCTATTCAATTAAATGAAAATAGTAGTAACAGTGATTCATATTCATCAACACGTAAACGTAAAATTGGAGAAGATATTGGTGGTGATGAACAATCTTCTTCATTAATATCGAATGATGATAATATAACTTTATCAAACGATACTAATGAACAAACTAAAGTATTTAAACGTAGTAATGATCAAACAACAATGTGAAAAATTTATTTTTCATACGTCTTCTCAACTCAGGTGTCGTTTCAAAATCGTATACACACACACACACACACATATATTTATATATATATACATATATTAATAGACTTAAATAAGATAAATCAAATAAATTTTTTTCTATTAACCGAGAAGAACATTCGTTGATGATCTCTGTGTACGTGCGCATGTTCGAACATGGTATTTCTTTATTTTTTCTTCTTTCGTTTTCTTTCTTTTTTTTTGTTTTGTGCACTTTTCCTCCTTATTCAATCTATCTATTTATGTATATGTACGTATCATCGTCATTTGTGTTTGTTTTTTCTTTTTCTTCTATCGATCTTGGACGATAGAAAAAAAAAGAGATTTGTGAGTTCAGATTCATTTTTTTTTCTTCTTCTTGTGCGTGTGCGTCTATTTGTATGTGTGTATAGATTGAAAGATATAAAAAAAGAGAAATAGCAGACAATATTTTATTGAGTGTAGTTTTTGTTGTTGTTGTTGTTAATGTTGTCATCTTTGTTTCTTTTGCGATCTATTTCTCTGTTTATTTCTTTCGTATTCTATTTACACACATAAAAAACAAATCTTGTAAGAATTTTATAAAAACTATATAAACAAAAAGATGATGAAACTATATTAAAAAAAAATAATTCTAAGCATTTTTATCAAATGCAAACTAAGATTATTTAAGGGTATAAATCAGAAAGGATGTACTACAATAGGGTAAGAAAAAGCAAGCTAAATAAAATATCTCAATGAAAGTATGAGATTCTTCATCGTGTATTTTAAAGATACTGTAATCAAATTAGGTTATATAAAACTATCGATTCATTCATCTATCGAAAACTTTCCATGTATTGAAATTATTTTGCTACAAATAATGGTGCTAGGACAAAACGTCACAGCTTATTTTAGGGTTCAAAACGAAATGCTAGTAAATTTTTGATGTTGGATAGTGCATGTACGTGGGATGTGGATATTCGATGTATCCTCACACACACTTTCACCCTCACCGAGCCATACGCCTGCGACGTATTGTCCGGTCACCCAAATAATAACGAATATTCTTTATGAATACATCAAAACAAGAGGTCCGGATCTCGGTTTCAGATCATGTCGTTTATGCGAACCGTCACTGTTACGCTCACCGGTGCCGCAGGCATCTATGGTGGCTTAGTACTTTATCGGTACGTTAATTTTGAAAATTCTTTACAATCATACAA